AGGTGCTAGATAAGAATTATATACCCCTCCTTTTCTTTTTCTTTTTTCTTTTGTTTTTCTTGATCTGGATTCTCTCCCGTTAAATATAAGCCTAAATCAGATCTTGAGAAAGCCCTTCTCATTCAAGCTCTTAATGGTGTTTACGAGAGTCAAATCCATTGAAGTGAAGTTGATGCCCTAAGTTTTTGCTTTAGGATCCGCAATATATTTTTCATGCTAAAAGGAGTTGAGAACTTGGGATTTCACAAGGAGAAAGAAAAGGAAGAAATCAACTGATGTAAAGTCTGCAGTCTTATATATATGGGTATGCTTTATGATTAAAGAGACGACACGTGAATGCTCCATTAATTTTCTATAATACATCACATATAGCAGAAAATTATTCTGATAAGAAATAAAAAATAACACCTAAAAATCCAATGTAACCAATAATGATTCACAACCAAGTGAAATATAAAATTTTCGGAATCTATAAGAAAATAGACCTCATGTACTCTATACTTAATTTGCAATTATAAATTACCTTGTAGATCTTAAAAAAATAAATTATTTTAACAATTATAATGATTATGAAAGGATGGCAAGGATAATGTAATATCTTTTTCATATTTAGTAGTCACACTTAATTAGCCCTTTTCAATCTATTTTTTATGATAAAAACATTTTTTTCTTAAAAATAAAAATAAAAGTATCATGTTTCTTGTTAAAAATAAAATAAAAATCAAAACTACATTTATAATATTTTTCCTCTTTTATAAAATACCTCTTATATAAGACTATTGACCATTTGTCAATCATGTTATTACCTTATAACTAACATTCACATAAAAATAAAATAAAAAAATTAATTAAGATAAATTTTTAAAATCATAAATTATATCTAGATTTAATATCCCACATTTATATCTCCATGTATCTTGATCATATTCCACACATATTCAAAATCTATACAAATAAAAAGAAATTAATTTTATTTGCATGAGTAATTAAATTAAGTCAAGTCAAGTATTGACGTGTTCAAGTAATTAAGTTATTTTAGTTTTACTAAGGTTTAAGCATTGCTTGTATTTGTGATAACTGATAACTCATTTAAGCTTAACTCAAGCTTAAAATGTTTAACTTGTTTAAATTCATCGTTGAGCTTATAAATAAATTTAACAAAACCTTCACTTGATTATCAAATTAAAGGTTAATAATTGGATAACAATAGCAATCATATATAAGCTCATGATTACTAATGAGATGGTCTGAAGTTAAGAACAGAGGGGATCATGATTTTTTATTCAAAGTAAACTTTTATAGGGCCTTTGACTCGATATTAAGGACTATATAGATGATGATATGGTTCATATAGGGTTATGCATTTTATGGAAAAGTTTGATTAAGGAATATTTGTCTTCATCTAAAATGACCATCTTTATTAACATGTTTTCAGGTAAAGAATTCAGGTTCCAGATGACTCTTTGACATGGTAATCATTTATCCCTGTTTTTCTTTGATATAAAAGTTGAAGGTCTTTCCATTCTTTTTAGTAAGGCAGTAGATTTTGGATATTTTAGAAGTTCGAAAACGAATGGTGGTATGACTTTATCTCTCCTTTAATATATAGATGCCACTCTAATTTTTGCATCAAATAATTATGGTTCTCATCTACATGTTAAGAGGATCCTTCGCTGGTTTGCTCTTATATATGACCTTCTAGTAAATTATTCCAAAAGTTCTTTGATTGAAATTAATTTAGATAATGATTATGTCTCATAAATGGTTAGAAGTTTTTTTTTTGTTGCATGGTTAGAAGTTTTTTTTTTGTTGCAGTGATACTTTTCCAATTAAGCATATGGGGTTGCCTCTAAGTGTTGATCCTTGTTGTTTATCTACACAAAAATCAGTAATTTCTAATATCAAGTCTATATTAGTATCATGAAATGTTGAGCATAGTTGTCTGTATCTGCCTTATCAAGTCATTATTAAATTCTTTGCCTTTATTCTACATGTCAATGTTTATAGTGTCTAAAGGTATTTTTGGGTTTATATATGCTATTATTCAGAGGTTTTAATGGAGTGGTAGCTCAAATACTTTCAAGATGTGTAAGGTAGCATGGTTCAAGGTCATTCAACCAAAAAGTAGAGGTGGGTTGAGGCTTGGATCATTATATAATAAAAAATAACGCTATTTTTTAAAATGAATATGGCATTTAGAAGTTAGTAATTCAGGAAGCTGACAAGATTATATCGTGCATAAATATCAACTCACTTTTAAAAATGAGTTTCCTATGTTTGCTCGTCAACTTTTTCCAACATGGAGAGGGATTGTTAAAGTGTTAGTTTTTGATGACAGAATCAACAAAGTTATTTGTGTTTCTTGTTGCTAGAAGGTTGGTAATGACATAGCCCTTCGATTTTGGTTGGATGGGTGGTTTAATTATGCTCTATTAATGATGTTGTTTCCTTATTTATTTAGGTTATATAGTTAATATAATGCTATAATTCAGGAGGTGTATAATTCCAATACCAATTTAGTTACTTTGTCCTGGAATCAACCTCTAAAGGATAGAGAGTGTCAGCAATTGGAGTCTTTTTTTGTTAAAATAGAAAGGAATTTATTTATTTTTTATTTAGCTGATAGAAGGGTGTAGCGGTTAGAGAAGAATATGATTTTCATAGTCAAATCGGCTTGTACTCTCATTGATGATATTTGACATTTAAGATTTGAGAATTTTGATATTTTGCTCTGACAATATATATTTCATCCTAAAATTAAGATATTTTTGCGGTGGTTGTTGTCGTGTAGCCTGAGTATCACGGGATTTTTTGCTTATAAAAGAATTATTAGTTATTATGATACTTGTTTTTTTTTTTTGAGATATGAAAACTAAGACTATCAACCACCTTTTTATTTATTTGTTATATGACTGTTCAACTTTTTTTACAAGAATGAAATCATTTATTATATGAAAATTTCCAGCACAAAGTCATCTATATGCTTTGCTATGATATCTTGCACTTTATTTGGATTACCTATAATAAATTATTTTTTTGATGCTATTAATCATGATTGAGATAAACTTTATTATTTAATTTTTTATTATTTAGCTCAATAACTGTTTGTTGGATTTCATAATTTTACTTCTATAGGTATTGATCTAGTTAGATTTTCAAATTATGTGTTGAGATGGTCTAATGCTCATGATTCATATTTTTTATTGTTTCTTTGTTTTTTTACAGTAAGTTTTTCTTTTAGTTAATTTATCATTATTTTAATGGCATTGAATAAATCTTCATGATATCTGATTACTAAAAAAAAGAGTTAATAACTGAAATAAATAGTTTTTGGAAATGATATAAAATTTGTTTATTTTACAATATCTTACATGAATTCCCACATATAAGCTTACATGCATGCTTAGTTGTGAGCTCGTAACCATTAAAATTATCAATTGTTGTCCTTTGTACAATCGTACTCATTGTTTGTACTGTCAACCTTCTATTGGAGTTCCCTCCGTTAGCACATTAAGATAGCCACGTGATAGTCACACGATTTGTCTTTTAGAAGGCACGTGCCACAATCTTATCTGGTCTCCATTGAGGATTTCGTTGATTTATAAGCTGAATCTTGACGGAGATCGTGTCTTAAATATAGAAGATAGAGCTAGCGAAGGACTAAATCAAGATTCAAGAATCTCGTAAGTTGGGGATTAACTTGTTTTGTTAACTGAAAGTTCAGGACCAATTGGCCTTTTCAGTAATTGAATTCGAAATGTGAAATTTATTTTTTGGTTTATTACTGAAATGAAAGGGTTGTGATATTCTTTTCTCAGTAAATTGTAATTCGAGGAACGGGATTTCTTAGGATTCAGACTTATCAAGTAAACAAATACCTAGACGAAAGATTGGAGCAACAACTTCTTTAACCACCAGCTGGCCTCAACTATATATTTTTCTTGCCTAATTTATCTTCTATTCCAAGAACTGAATAAAAATAGAGTGTTCATCATTGCGGGAGTAGAATTGAAAGATTTGACAAAATTCTGAGATAAAATGTTGGTGGATTTTACTACCGGACACCTCCGAAGGAATGGACCACCTGTGAGAATCCAACCACTAACAAGAAAACTTTCAGATGTTTGGGCACACACGAGCTGCGCCCACTTGCTTGACCGTGTCATACAAATGGAAAAAAGATTTACATACGAAAGGAGTGTTATCCTAACATAATCAATATTACCATCAAGATATATAGAGTGGTCCATATGAACACCTGCTATATATTAATTTGCCTCTTGAAACACCAGTGGGCTCTATATATATGTTGCTTTGAGCTATTATTTTCAAGAGGAACACAGGTGAAGCAGGGTAGCCTAAGAGTACCCGAGGTTAGTAAGCTATATGATCTGTTTGTGTGCATCGATTGAACATTCATATAATCAAACACTGTTCACTGTCAACTTGGCAAAGCTAGTTTCAATCTCCGTAGTACTGTAAAAGCTAGTTTGGATAATAAGAACTGAACGTAGAATAAATTACAGTGAGAGAGAGGGAAAAAGAAAGAAAGAAAAGAAGCCAATACTGCTTTGCTTTTTGTTATTTCAGATTGGTTGAAAGGGACTGTAAATAAGCAACTAGAGTTTCCAAAGAATAAAACAATACTTTTTGTGGGGTTGAGACTATATCCCAACTTAGATCACAAAACCCTAATAATTAGATATTGATAGTAACACTTCCTTGATCCATTGGAAGCCAGGTACAGTATTGATGGCCAAGAAGCCTTACGCTTCAATGGGGACCATAAACTTGAAGCCTGCCCTTCTCACAACATAATGGGCAGGAGCAGCATATTTGCAGGGCAAGGCTTGTCTTGATTGCACTCAAGGTATAAGCAAAGGACACTGGTGTTTGATTGCCATCTCTTATGCTAAATCTTTTTAGCAATTTTCTAAATATTTCTCGCATATATAAATCATTGAACTCGAGACTAGTTGTTCTAGGGCAATAGACCTAGCCTCCCTCCTGTAAGGAAAAACTAAGGCCTCTCTCGATCGAACCAAATGACACGACCACGTCTGCCTGACCCTCTCCCCATTCACCCCTGCCCCTTTTAAAGTCACGAGACCACACTGTCCCTTGTTGTTCTTTCAATTTGAGAGAGAGAGAGAAGGAGATGAGTTCAGGGGTTTGGCAGAGAAACTGGGAGCTTTCAAAGCTCCTTTCCCCCCCCCTTCACTCGACTAGCCTCTTTATTGCAGTCTCAAACTGAAGTCATAATTTTATAAAGCTTTAGTTATTTTCCCATCTGAAAGAGTGTTTACCTCATTTTTTTCTGTCTGTCTCTGTCGGTACCATGTAGGTCATCCCTGCAAACCCCTTCCACTCACACCTCTTAATTTCTCTTATCTTCTCCCTTACCATCTCAGTCTTCTCTTACTCTTCAGCACTCCTTCTAACTCTTTCTTTTGTGTCCTTTTGCTTTCTAATTTGTTTTTCCAGGAGACACGAGAATAACCCATTAGACCTCAACAACTTGCCCGAGGATTACTCTAGAGATGGTAAACAAGTCCTTGATGAAGGCTCCTCCTCTGGTATGCGCATCTATCTTTCTATATATATAACAGAAATACGAGTTTAATACAAAATCCCCCCCCCCCAAGTCCTTCTCCTTTTCATTTTAGAAAAAAGACCAAACAATATAAAAACAATTAAGAAAATGGAAGATCACCATGATTTTGCGGAAAGAAAATGAATGAGGGTCGGCAAAATTCATTCTTTCCTCACTTTACCCATTTTTTTTAAAAAATAATTACATACTATTTGACATCATGAAGTCTCAATTGATACAATAAAGAAAAGGAGATGGAACGTCAAGAGCTAAAAAAAAAAAGGTTTAGAGAGAGATCGGTAACTAGGGTTCGGCTTTTGGTGCTAAGAATGGTCTCATCTAAGTTGCTCTAATTGGCTGCTTTTTTTTTTTGCAGGCTGCAGGAAAAAGAAAAGCGGCGCTAAGAATGGGAAAGAAGAGTGTGGTAAGGTCTATGAGTGTAGGTTTTGTTCCCTCAAGTTCTGCAAATCTCAAGCTCTTGGAGGGCACATGAACCGACACAGACAAGGCAAAGTCTTGTCCTCCCTTTCTTCACCTTCTATCAACATGTGTTAATCAAATACGTCAAAACATAGTACCTTTCATCTTATACTTTTTAACGGGAGAGTATGATTTGCCATGAAAATTATTAGTATAGCGTGGTCGTGTCAATCTTGAGGAAAACTAATTTGATTTGTTGTTCAAATTCTTGCGTGTCTTTGGTTATTTGATACCTTGATTGATTTGATTTGTGTCGCTGGTCGGTCAGAGAGGGAGACAGAAACATTGAACCGGGCTCGCCAACTGGTGTTCAATAGTGATACTTTAGCAGCCCCTGGGGGTCATCCAGGGTACGTAACTATGTGCACCCATCATCTTTATCCAGCGTTGCTCTCTTGCTCTTGTCTTATCTCCTCCATTACTCCATGCTTTCTTTATGGGGTTTCTATGACTCCATCCTCACTTCTTTTCTTCACATCTTACAAATGGAGAAGGAAACATGACGATCCTTAAAAGCAAAAAATCAAATGACCAACAGATACTGTTTTCTGTTTCGAAATAGAAAGGTATCTTTTCATAATGTTCTACTTTTAGAAGATTCCTACGAGCTACATTGTTTTATCTCATGTGATCAGCGATTCAAAGATCGATCCTCCACCTGTTTTGTTCCGCGAAAAAAAATGTATACCCGTTTTGATTTCATAGCAACAGAAAAGAACACCTATATATGTTTGATTTCACATCTTGCTGTTTTGCACTAAAGATCATGGACATTATTTGATTCCAATCATAATATTTCTGTTTAATCTCAATAGCGACAAAGTTCATGATTATTATATACTTTATTGCGTTCTTCTTCTTCTTCCTGTCTTAGAACCACTACAAGCTATTTGAAATTGTAAGAGTTGACTAGAAAGGAAATTATTTTAACATCATATTTACTTAATTCCAATGTTTGAAATGCTTCGACAACACAAATGGCTTTTACAGTGAATTACAATTAGATATATTTATAGATTTTTAATTCAATAAAAAGGGTATGATTTGCTTTAGAATTAACCCATTAAAAACTAGTCTCACCGACGCCCTTCTTTCTTTCCTCTCTCTCACGCATATGCTTAGAATGTGTTTTCTTAGAAACGAGGACAAGTTGGACGAATGATGTATTTTCACTTTCTCAAGTTAAAATGAATTCCACAATTTCATAACTCATTTTAAACAGAAAATCTCAGTTAGCAGATTGAATCGGTTCGATCTACTTAAATTAGTTGAAATCAATTTCATCATAGAATTGGTCCCAAACAAGTTGCTAAGAGACCAGATTCTTCTACTTAATAATATTCTTTGCAGCTGCCATCCGATGGGAACAGGGAGCTACATTCCAGCAGGCAACATTGGAGATCCATTTAGATCTGTGTACCCACCAAGACTGTTCCCTGGCTCTTCATCAACTCTCTTACCAGCACCACCAAATCAACATCCTCATCAATCATATCTATACACGCCTCCTTCACGCCTCCCGGCTTATAAATCGCAGTATCCTCAACAGCCCATCAACGATTACTACATAGGACATGTACTCAACAACACTTCACAAACATACCCTTCCCACCAGAACATGAACTACAACATGGGTGGCTCAGAATCCAATTACACTTGCATTGGTGCACCAGTAGGTCACGGTGGGTTCGGACCTGGTTCAAGCCGTAGCACGGAAGGAAGTGGTAGAGATGGATCACTGAGCAATCAGGAGGATGGTTTGAATTGGGGAAGGAACCATGCAGCAGGAGGACAGCAGCGGTGTTTGGATCATCCTTCATCGATCAATCGGTTTCAAGATGGGTTTTAAAGATTGTTTTTGTTTTTCTTTCTTTTCTCTTGTTCTACTTTTGTGGGATTAATGGTAGTATTGAATGAAGCATATTGATCTGCCTTGACACGGTACCCATGGAGAGAGATAAGAGAGGGACTTAACAAACTGACGAATGGGGTCGTGCAAAGGAGGAGAGAAGTTTTTGCTTTTTATGTACAGGGATTGGTGCAGCTTTCTGAGCTCATGGACACTCTCAGCTACTTTGGCTTGGAGCTGTGGGGTTTGGATGGGGGCATATGTTGGTGTTGGTACTGTAATTGTACAAACCAACTGAGAAAGAGAGGGGACTTTAGGCTATATAGGTTGTGAGATGGGACAAGGAGTCCGATTTGAACTGAAAGCTCCTAACCCCCTTTCGCATTTGGACTTTGATTTTGCATGGCTGCTTTCCTTTATACTGGCATTTTTTTTCCCTTTCCTTTCCTTTTGCTGTTTCTTCTATTTTGTGGCTCTACACAATATCTTTGACCAAAAAGGAGTGAGAAGGTGAGGGCAGCGTTTTTAGAAGTATTTTTTATAGTTATTTTTTAAAATATTTTTTATTTAAAAAAATATATTAATAATATATTTTTAATTTTTAAAAATTATTTTTAAAAACAACGTATTAAAATAATTTGAAAACTCAAAAATATATTAATTAAAAATAAAAAATGAAAAACTCAAAAATATATTAATTTAAAGTAAAAAATTTAAATTTTTTTAAAAACTTTTTTAAAATGCAATGCAAAATACGTCATTATAATTAAACGCTTCTCTCCCACACACACAATGCAAAATACGCCATTATAATTAAACGCTTCTCTCCCACACTCAACAGAAATTGGTATCTTCTGGTTTCTTGAAACATTTATGGTTAAACCATAGCTTGCACAATACGGGCATTAATGACATGGAGAAAATACTTATGGGTCAAGAGTTTCATTGACCTGCTCTTGATTGCTGAAACAATAATTATAAAAACATCTGTCTACAAAAGTCTGTGGGTGCAGCAAATCTCTCTCTTCTTATTATTGCTGCGGTGTTTTTTTTATACTACATATGTATTTCACTAACTGCAGTTTTAGTTCCTAAAACAATAAATCCTTCCTTCCTCTCTCTTTCAGTTTCCTCTATGGATCCTTGATAACTAAACAAAACAAGACAAATATGGTAACATCTAAAGTTGAGAATAAACCATTCACATTAAGTTAAGGTTCAACTATTTTGGTCGAAGCTTAAATTTAACTCTTCAATTAAACCATTAGCAGTGGTCAGAAAGTCATGATCTGACCAATAAATAAATAAAAGAGGCAAGGTGGGTTTTTTTAAGAGAGCTTTCTTCTTGTATTTACTTCTGTGCACCGATAGAAATGCTTTAAAAGATTTAAATTATAACTAATCCAGTTAAATTATTAATAATTAGCATATATAGATTGTTTATATCTTATGGTTGAACGGAACAAAAAATAATAACATCTAATTCAGAAGTGAATAATCGGAGGGGGTTGGTGGGTACGTATATATGCTTTGTTTTACTGGGGATAACATGGGGATAACTTATGGGTTTAGCCTTGAACAACTTGATATAACAATTTATTGGCTTTTAGAGTAGTTTTTCAAGTAATACAAATTAAGGGAGTTGAGGGTAATTTTTAGAGAGGATTGATTACAGTGGCCAGAGCATAATACACATCAAGCTTTGGCAACTTGGATTAGACAATTTTAATCCCAGGTATTTATTGCTGATCATTCGTTTTTTTTTTCCCCATTCAATTGATCTTGCAACTTGTTTCTTCCAATTTTGGACAATTCATGTGCTGTTAAAAACACTCTGGGAGTTATAAAGCCATTGATTATTGTTACGTACTGAGTTAGTACACATACTGAGAAAAATTAATGCAGCTGCCTGAGCTGGGAGCCTCAGAAGAAGGTCACAGTTCCGGCCAAATGTTTCATTTGAATTGTTCAACAAAATGAGGACTTTCAGGTGCTTAAAAATGCAAAATTTCTGAGAGATTGATGAATGATTGAGCAGGATGGGTGCTTGATTTTACCCGTATCAGCAATATAAGTGGCAGAGACCATCAAATACCAGAAGCTATACAAGAGACAGGTTCTGATGAGAATAAACCCTAACCCTGCTAGCCCTTCTATACATGTACAGGCTACCAAAGCAATTAATAGGTTCTGCTGGACTGCAACTGGCCACCACTCTAGGCTCTAGCACAAAGCGATATGAACATGTCAACTTGGGATGCTAACCTCGTGGCCCCATGCTGCTACAGCTTAACCTAAAATCGTTAGGTAGCCGCTAGCTAGACCCAGCTGAAATATATACAAAGCAATCACGGACGCTAATTTATTTTCCTGATTTGGGATAACTGTAAGTGTATACTGTATATAAATCAGGAAATAAAAAGAGAAGGGAACGAGGGCAGTTGAACCCTCTTTTTCTTTTTTTGTTTCTATTTCTATGTACATAATTGGCTCCTCCTCCTAATTTTGTTGGTGTGCTAGTAATTTGAAGTTGTGTTAGTAGCGATACTTTTAGCTAGCCATGTCCCCTCAAAGCCAGCTGCTTTCATTACCCCTATATATATTCCGATGATGAAAGCAACAGCCATTTATTGTTTTCCCTTATTTTCTTTAGCTGTTTAGACTCACAAAGCATACATCTTGCAAATTAATAGTGGCACAGATCCTTGAGGTCACTTGTCTTTTAACGATCTACTGTTGTTTTCTTATATTTTTACGATATTGGGATTTGGATGCTTACGTTAAATCATGTCTTAATTTTACGATTAAAAAAAAAATTAATAGAAATTCAATGGGTCCTTTAATTAAGTGATTGAGGTGTGCGTTTTTTGAATTCATTAGCGGGTATATTAAAAGGCACATATTTTGTTGAGTTAATAAAAAAAAAAAACACGACTCCTTAGCCTATCATCAAATATGTACGAGTATGAACATGTACTATCAACAAACGTTACTTATTTTAGCCAAAGAAAATAAAAACAAAATGTTACCAAATATATATATATATATATAAATATGTCGAATAATGTTAACAAATATATATATATATATATATTTGTTAACATTTTTCGACATATTTAGCTAATTATTGAAGAGCACGCCCGCATTACTGATGAGAAAAATATAAAAGGTACTATTTAGGGTTTATGTACACCGAAACTTAACAACCTTTATTAATACTTTACTTATGTTCCAAAAACATGATCTATTTTTGACCTTTCAAGTTCCAATAGAATACAATTTTGACGGTCTTTCTTAATTGATTTGTTTAAGAAGACATAAGGTTTACAAAATTTTATTTTATCCTTTAATAAATTATTTTATTAATTTACCAACTAATATTATATCTTAAGAAGAGAAGATATTTTGGAACGAGAGATGATGAAATTCAAAGAATTATGGTACACAAAGGGTAAATGATAATAAAAAAGGTTAATGAGGGCTTTTAATAACTATTTGAAAATGTGGTTATTTTTTAAAATGTTTTGTATACTGAAATATATTAAATTAATTTTTTTATTTTTTAAAAATTATTTTTAAAATCAACACATCAAAATAATCTATTTCAAACATGTTCTCAACTGTAAAAAAAAAAAAAACCGGTACTGCCATGTGCTAGAATAGCAGTAAGAGTACCTAACCAGAAAGAAGTGTCATAAACTATTTACATAATTAAAGGAACTCGATGAATTATTAGATTATTACCCTTAATTATTTCAGCAATTCCCAAAAAGATCAGTCAGACATTAATTACCAGTGATGGCATGGTATCAGCTGAATAAACGAACGTAGCAATACCCACCCTCTTTGTTTTTATATTTTAATTTTTTTTTAAAAGGTTATTTTTAGATTGTTTTAAATTATTGATATTAAAAATAAATTTTTCAAATTATAAATAACAGTTTGAAAAAAAAAAAACTACCACAGTACTAACGGGATCTAAGCTGTCATGTGGCGCTGAGTTTTTAATCAAGAACCTCTCTTCTACATTTCAAATCATTAATTGAAACACTGCGCGACAACAATGAGCTAGAACCATAGAAATACCAACTGTTTAGCTACTGTAAATCTCTTTCACACCCAGAGGATCTTTGTCAACCTACAGTCCCGTACCTTTCTCGAATATATCTCGGGATCAAAAACACCACGGAGAGAGATGTGGAGGCATTAATAGTGTTAATTTAAATGTGCTTCTCTGTGATATATGTAGAGCCAGAACTACACTAAAAAAGTTGCATATAACTGTCAATATACTGAAACATGAGAGATTGCATGCAAAGACATGGTAACATAGGCAGCAAAAGCAGCCGGCTATAAGAGAGTAGACTCAGCGTATTATCCATGCAATATCAAGTGTGGGAATGTTTAAAGCTGCTGCATGGCTTTATTTCTTATCAATTTATAGCCTTATTTAATTTGTCTTGTTGCTGCAGAATCTGATAATTACATCCCTTTAAGCAGCTTTAGTAAGTTTTCTATCACTAACTCCGATCCTCCGTCGAGGCGTCTTAATTACTCGTTACCTTTACACATTTTGCCACTCTCTACCTCTTCCCTTTTCTGTTTTGCACTGAAATGTTACAATACTTGCTAGTGTCCTATTCGTTACTCATTAATGCATACCTCGAAAAAGGCCAAAACAGCGGCCATGGGCGCCTATTTTTGGCTTTTAGCATGAGAAGTTGTGAAATATTACTATTTTGTTTTGTCGCGGATTTAAAACACCTTTTTTTAATTTATGTTGTGCTTTCTAAATTTTAATTTTACTGTTCTATTTTAAAAAATATATATATCACCAGTGGTTGGTTACTTATGAATGCTAGTGGCTAGCCTGGTAATTAAACTAACTGAACCAACTAATTAACATCTTTAATGTTCTTACTATATGAATTATACTTCAGGTATATTAATTTTGTCTTTTTTTTGGGTTGTTCCATGGAAGATGAAATGCCTCTAGGAGAAATCTGAATTAATAAATTTAAAAAATTCATTAATAAAAGTTTTATTTAAATAGTACAGTAATCATTAATCATGACACTAAATAAATTTAAGTTTAGAGAGTAAAAATATAAAAAATTGAGCAAGTTTTTTTTGCAATGAACAACTTATAACCCTTAAACCAAATTTTTGATTGAAAAATTACTCATGAATAATTCATGAGAATTAGCTATTTTAAAAGAGATATATTGAAAGGTATTTAAAGAACCTATCATAACCAAATCCAAATATATTTGCTTATAAATCTATAGTTTGAAACTTGATATGTTTATGGTATACACAAGACTGAATATTTCACTTACAATTAGTCTAGTGAGTCAATTTTAATTCACATAATAAAATTAATACTAAAACCCAATACTTAGTTGTTTTAAAGGTATTTTTATTTTTGTAATATTAAATATATGTTGAATGTGTACACAAATATATATATATATATATATATATATATATGATAGGTGAATTGTTTATAAGAAGTTCACATCGAGTTACTTAATGATATTTGCAAGAGAAGTGACAAGGGAAAATTAAATATATCTCCATATCAAGTTTGTGTTATACCATGATCGTTAAATTCTTATCAATCTCAACAAACATTTCACTTTTCATTTTCGATGAAAGTATAATGAAACAAATGATTGAGAGGTTAGAATTCTGTAAAAGACAAATGAGCTTGATAATGTCATCGAATTAGTCAGCAAGGGAAGAATTGTCCGGTGGGTTTCCTCCTCCTTTTTTAAAGGAATCCAAGCCCTGGATTCTCATAAAAGGGGGTGGATTGGGATAAAAGCCAACCACTTTTAATGTTGTATAAAATTTCGAAGAAGCCCATAAACAAGGACTGTTTTGTGAATTGAAGAGCTAAAAGAAAACAGAGAACAAGCATCTCTTGAAGGGACCAATGGAAACATCTCCTGAGCTTACTAAACGAACCTCAAGATGAAAACGACCCTTCACTCCATCAAAATGAAAGTGGGTTCTCAGTTCAGATCACGCCATTGATCAAGTGACGATACCCTATTCTTATAGGGATTCTATGGTCCGTCCGCACGGGTTTTTTCTTTCCTTATTGGTCTTGTTTACTTCTGTCGTTTCTTGATCTTGATATAGCTAGCTAAAGACACCTTTATCACTCTCTCAAATATATGTACGGCCATATATTTTATATCTATATAGATTTGTTTCTATCAAGTTTGATGCATGAAAGGATTGTCTTTTGAGAAACATTTGAGATGCATATGAATGAGATATATAATTATGATGTTGAGAAATGTAATTTTTCCAGGTAATATAAATATGTATTCTGGTAAATAAAGATGTTGGTTTTATTTTCTATTTTTTAAATTCGAATCTTGAAAGCAGAAATTTATTCTCATAGGGAAGACATATCTTTAGAATAGTTTGAAAAAAGTTCAATCATAATTGATGTATAAATTGAACTAAAACTATACCTTACTGCCGGGAGAAAAAAAACACAAGCAGGCTTGCTTCTTTTTTCTTTTTTTTTTGGCTCCTGTGAAGGAGTTAATCATAATTGCGCATGTAGCTTAGGTTGTTTGTTCATAACAAGAATGTTTTGGTTTCTAATGCCCAGATGCCAAGCAAATTAATTTTGTGCGGTCATTCTCCCTGTCTACATATCATTGTTTCTTTCTCATTGGTAATGGTTTGCAACTTGTTCTTGTAGTTCCGTAGGCTTTTTCTTCACTTGTTTTTATGTTTCTAGGCCCATAAAGTGGACAGAGACAAAATCTCACCTGAATTTTTTAAAAATAAATAAATAAATAACAGGGATGATGAGATAACCCTAAAAATTTAGTTACTTCACTTCGCAGCTAGTATTTTCCTTTTCCTTTTCTTTTTTCATTTTTAGAAGAAGATGCTAGAAAATCAAAGCTGTGGTGTGATTGTTCGTAAATGTATGAGGGGTGCTACATGTACAACACAATAATAGTAAATATACCAAATACCAAAATCTCCCAGTGTTCATGCATGAACTGAAACTAGACGTTCCGATGACAATTTCTCAAGCATATGGAGAATTCAGATCTTTTTGGCAAGTTTGAAGGTTAATTGAATTTCTTTCCCTTGATAATATTTTAGGGAAAGAAGTTTTAGGAGCAAATAAAAAACACAAATAATTCATTTCCATCCCAAGTTTTTAATCCTGTCCTTTATTGAAAGGATAAGGAAAATATACTTGTTAGATTTTTTTTAAGAGAAAAAAAAATATTTTCATCAGCTTTGCAGTTACAGTTACAGTTTTAAGTTTAAAAAAAAACAATAAATTATAACCTGTCCTTAATAAAAAGAATTCTTAACATAACCCATGCAAAACTTTTCAAATTGATAATCGAGACAAAACACAGACTACATCACAAAAGCAATCAATCATGAATAATACTATTATTCATATCACCTATTTGATGGAGAATCATACATGAGGTGTGGACTTGTTTTCGGTCCTAACATGTACTTGCCTGGTCTAATGAATGCAGTTACAAACATTGCCACAGGAAGAGTTGCTATTCGAAAACAATAAATTTTAGACAAGAACAAGTAAACATTATGTGCAGAAAACATATGAATTGAAATCTTAGAAGAAGTTGATACAATCGTGGGGTTTCTTGGTATTTCAGCGAAGATCATGGTGGTATAAAAATATTACCAATATGAAACTCTTGGTAGTTTCCAGTTTTTGTAAGATTGTGTTTTTACATAGTGAAATAATGTACATTTTCTTTTGGTTTCTGTTTTGGCATGCTTGATTGTGTGATCTTGAGATATAATTTTATAATCAAAGGTCGATTATGGAATAACGATAACTTGCCTTCACCTAACCTAAATGAGCCAAATTTAACATTTACAAGTTCGGCAGCTCTGCTTATGCAATGGCGGCTCAAGCTATCTAGTTGCTTGTGGTGTTGTCTCCCTATTACCATCAGTCAATGGTCCGGCATTATGATACCTGATTGATGGTTCAATTTTGTTAGAAGTGACCTGGGGCATATTGCTCACAGTGCCAGAAGCTTGAAGATGATGAGATCCTTGTTTGCTATCCATATTATGGTACGATGGACCCCATTGGAAAGTGGAGATAGAGGAGAGCTCTGTTTGGTAGGAGCTTGAGGAAATGTGGCTTCAGCCACAATCTGCTTTGATCCACCCTGGAGATAACATAAAGGGTAGATAACATAAAGGGTCAGATATTATATCCAAGTCATGCAACAGACAACCAAAAATACTTTCTTAAAAAGGAAAAAGGAAAAGACAACAATAAAAGCCAAGAAAGGTCAAGAAGTAGGCAATACTTAGGCCTAACCTAAACTTTAAAATGCTCCAAAATTAGATTGTACTAAGTTTGTTTATTTCATGAACAATTTTAAACAAGCCGCATATTCAGCCAAGATCAAGTTTTTTGCATGTTTAGACATTAACAAGCCTATGAAGCCATGTTTCAATTGAAGAACTCTACATATGAGCTAATCAGACATTATTTCTGGCAAAAAAAGGTGTGGATGCACACCCATTGGTCTAATAGTCTTCCACCAAAGATGAGAAAACACACCTTTCTAGTTGGGTGCGGTGCTCATGTACCCTCTACAAGGCTTACAAAAACAGATATTCTGAATCCACTTTGTCTCTTTCATGTAATTGATGATGCGGATTCAGAATCATCAGTCAAATCATGTTATCTAACATAGTACAGAATTGTCTACATAGCTTAAGAATAGAATGCAAGATATCATCTCTAATTTTAATAAGCATCATGAAGACAATGACACCATCCTAGGAAAACAGGCTAAACGTAAATGATTCAAATACGATCCCAATTGGCAAAGATTGAAAGTTTGTAGCGTTGAGTTGGTAAAATATACTACCTTAGATCCACATTACTGCTACATTTGATAATCCAACCCAGTTCCAGCACATGGGATTGGCATAGCACTAATTAATCAACCAAATAACAGGCAATTAACCCAAACAGCCGTGAAATATCTCCATATACTTGACATCTGGATCAAATTGAATTTACTCCGTCATAGCAAGGCTAAGGTGATGATCACCATATTTATCCTGTAGCTTAAACAAAATTCCCAACGGGCTCGCATAACAAATTATATGACGTGTTCATAAACACCCCAAGGACCAACGATCAAAGAGTTATAGGAAGGTGCGTTCAGCATCAAGATCCTTAAAAGCTGCTCTGGATCTAGATCTTGATCATTGTACTCGACAATCAGAACAGAAAGAAAGACTCATCCTTTCGGCTATTTGTTTTTTAGAAATTTTCAATTAAGGTTCTCCCATTTGGAACAAAATTTGATGTCCCAACTCATCTCAAATCAAGGAAAAAAAACTCCTTGCAGTAAATAAACTTACCACTGACTTTCAAGAATGGGAACACGCGCAAGTACAAACTAGAAGAACAGCTCCAATATTTCATATGCAGCCCATATATTCTTTTCCCTTGTTACATGTTCCACCTAACAAAATCAAACACCAAAACGCTGTTTATTTAAAACATCATAATTACTAAGCACATGAAAGAAAAACAAAAGGCAATTTAATAGTAATTATCAAATCATCCAGAAGGTGGGTGCCTACTCGAATTCGAGCCATTGCTTCTTGTCCAGCCTGAAGAAATTGCGCAATCTCCTTGCGCATATGTTTAAGCTGCAAATCTCTCTTATTTTGCTGCAATTTAATGCGCGAGATTGCCAAGTTCAAGCATGTTTTGCTAGAAAGTAGTCATCAAATATAAAATTTAAACCATCTAAAAAAAATCCAACAGAAATTGGAAAAAAAAAAATCCAATTTCAAACTAGTGCAAATAAAGATAAAAACAAAAAACAAAAATGAAAATGAGAAGAGAAGATACCATTTAGAACCAAAAACGCCTCTGTTGAAGAGTTGGTTTAAGAGGGACATTGATCGATGCTTAAACAGAGACGGGTTTCTGGTTATGATTCAGTTCGGGGTTATACTGCACAGTTAACTGCATTGCTCAGGTCTTTGTCCACGGCGGTTTTTCTCAATTAAGAATAAAGAAACGGAAAGATTGAAAATTGTTCGTCTTCCTTATTTGCGACAAATTTTGATTTCAAGAAGAAATCTGATCCGTCCACTCTATTAAAAAGTAAAACTGCTTCCCTATTTGTTTCCATATGTATAAATCACCAAATCCACCTGGAAAATAAAAATAACCTTGTGATATTTTTTTAGTAATAAATATCAAATATATTATTTTATCTTGATAGAATTATACATGCCAAAAATGAAATCCCTGTATAAAATAATATTTATTCTCTTGTGTCACAGTGCAAAATATATGCCAACAAATTTAACTCTGTCATATTCTTAAAAAATAATTTAATTTATATATCACACACCACCTTAAATAAAATAAAATAACCTATTTAAATCACTTCTTACACTTTATTTTGACAATCAAAACTTTGAGAAAAATGTTTAAAATTAGAATCATAAAAAATAATAATTAAAATTAAAAAATAATAAAATCACTCACCTCTAGATATCATGCGTGACCAATAAATAAAGGGAATATAAAACAAAACCAAACGAGATAATAAAAACTTATTTTATATCATTAAAAGACCACCTCGCATGCACTATTCAAAATATATGATGTTTGTTGTATGCTGATATGTATATATTTTAAAAATTATAAATTAAATTGTAAATTATATTATAATTCTCAATCAAACTAATAATTATAAAAAAATATACAAGAAAAGGATGATAATACACATGTTTCAGTAACTTAATTTTTCAGTCTTTAAGGTTATATACACGATCTCATTGTATTCTAAAAAGGAAAAAGATAACAATGCCCTTATTTTAGAGTGTTAGTTGTTGTATCGCAATGATATTTTAGTTATTTTATATTTATAAATATATTAAATAGACAAAATATCTTTAAATAAATGAACAATAACTAATGCACTGTATAAAAAGATAAAAATACTCCTACCTAATTCAAAGACAAACAACTTCTATTAAGAAAGATAAAAAAAGAGTAACTGCAATAATTTATATTATTGATTAGGAAAATATAAGGGAGAATATAGTGTTTTTTCCTACATTCTATTTTAATTTTTTTGTAATTTTTATAAAATTATAAATTTAGCAACCAGAAAGGAATTGATGTTTGTCGCAGCAGCTCTTGTCTCAACGCTCAAAATATTCAAAACGCTCCTGTTTTTTTTTATTGTCATTTCCAGTGCCTTTTAACGGGATCGCTCGAGCTCAAAAATTTTATAGGCAAGTGCTGTGTTGTCATTTGGAGAACATAGTTCATTTACGCAATGTGCAATGCTTCAGCAAACAGCTTTTAAAAATATTTTTTATTTATAAATATATTGAAATAATATTTTATTATTATTTTTAAAATTCATTTTTTAATACATAAAAATAGTTTAAAAATATTATTTAAAAAAAAAATTCAAATCACTTTTAAAACATAAAAACAAACTAACTTCTTATACTGCTGATTTTGTATATAATAATAATGGCATGCTCTTGGAGCGGCAGCCATCACTAACCCTGCAAGGATCTGCAGATCGATTGAGATCCTACCATTTCGCAACGCATCGAATAAAAACGGCTCATAACCTCAGAAAGTTGTTCTGCATATGCTATTCCAATGAAGCCAATACGATTACGATAATCCAGAAGGTGAATAACCTGTATAAGTTTTGAGTACAGCCATTTTTATTTGAACATCTTTTGTGTGTTATGCTATAGCTATCCATGAAATCATTTGAAGTACCAATCTAGCAATCTGCCATTATACTTAACAATTCTCAATGAACAAACACCATTGACTGAACTGGAATTTTTCTTGGTTTCCGGCTCCTCCTAAAAATTAGCATTGTTAACTAAATTTGAAAAATTGGTTGGGAACGGGTGACTATCCCAATAGCCAGAGGCAGGGCGAGGAAATCGCATAGACAACTGTAGCATGGAAATAATATTTTACTTAGCCGAGCATCTGGAATCAAGCCACGCAATAATATCTTCAAAGACTGCAAAGATTTTGGCATCAGGCTCCCCTTCAAGAATACTATGATAGGCCCCTTCATAAAGCTTTAGTGTTTTGTCTTCGCTAGAGGCCTTCTGATAGAGAAACTGGCTAACTAAAGGATCTGTCACCTTATCAGCAGCTCCATGAAGAATCAACAATGGGGATGAAACCTGCAACATGAGTGAATCGATCAACTTATCTTGATATTTATGTGTTTGTGTGTATAACATCAAAAGCATACACTGCGTTGTTGAGGCAACAAAGATAGATGAAGGAATCATGAAAATACAATAAGACAAAACCCAACCTTTTCCACTTGTTTCTCAATATCCTTGGTAGCATTTAGGAGCTCCACAGCAGTTTTCAATCGCATTTGGTCATTGTAACAGATAACATTATAGTCGGCCTGAAGTAGAAATAAAGAACAAAGATTTTTTTTGTGAAAGCATCTAGGGAATACTGAACATTTGAAATTTAAAACACACAATTACATCTACCAGAAAATTCCAGGAAGAAATCTGTGACTTCTTTGAGCGAACATTCACTCACTTATCGATTTTCAGATTTTTTTTTTTGGACACCACGCGAGTTCTTAAATGTTATAAAAGAGAAAAACAAGTTTATATGGGAATGTTGCAGAAGTTAGGTGAAAGCAGTAAGCCCTGATTTTACAGATTAGTGACGGCTAAGTTTCTTCATGAGGTTATGAATTGATCTATATGCTAGCAGATTTTGAATTATAAGTATAAATGCACAATAGGGTTTTCTTTATTCATATTAGCAGATTCTGAATTATTGGGTTTATTGGTTATAATCAAGTCGATGTTCATTTTGCATTCAAATAGGAGAAATGCTATAGTGATGTTCAGAAGGCAATTCATCTTGGTAGAAATCAAGAGGCATGGGTTCTTCACTTAATTGTAATCATTGGAAAACCAATCAAATAACCTATTGAAAAGCTTGAGGAGCATATTATTCATCAATGCTGTAAGGTTGTCAGACAAAACCAACATAAAACCAATTAATTTTTGAAATAAAGCATCAAAGTTACTGGGCACTTGAGGCCCAATAATGAGCTTGGTTTTCAATTGTCACGTTTAAAACACCAAACAGCAGGACAGTGAGGCTCATTGTGGCAGCAAGTGAAAGGATTGGTTCAATATGATACAAGTCTTCTGAACAGAGAGTAAATAGAATACGCACCATTTTTCTTTTCTTCAGGTCTCTGAAGCAAAGTGCTGCTAGATCTTTCTGTGGCAAGAGCTTTGCTTTTGGCATAACTTTAGAAAGAAGAATTAATGCCTTAAGAACTGGTGCTGGGGGCTGAACATCCTCTGCAATCTTGGCAAGAACTTGAGGTTAGAAAATCTCAAAGTAATCATGAGTAGCTTTCTGCAGAAAAAAATAGTTATTCTTGCAACTTGAAAACCCAGAGAAGTCAGACCCAGAAAGAGCAAACAAATATTAATCCATGTGTCTGTTTATGAAGGGCGATGATGATGCTACCCACCTAAGTGATGATAAGATAATAGTGATTAATATGCAATAGCAAAATCATGTGTCCCCATTTGCAAAATTTAAGAAGCAAACAGATGGTTAAACTCAGGAGCAAATTGTAGCCACCACTCTTTTCACTGGCCAAAAGAATCACAGACAAACTGTTTGAGATCCTCCATCTGCTGTCTTTTATGTCAACTTTCCAGTATCAGATGCCATTGATCTATATTGTCAGGCCAAAGTTGTTCATGCAAACCATGTCTTTCAGAAAGTTCAATTCCTTCCTGAGCACTATTTTAATCATTATGATAAGGGCTCTCCAAAGCAGAGCTTTTTGCCAAAGAATACCTACCAAGGCTTTGCTTGTCCCTGATAATGATGAAATCAGGCAAGGTAAGAGCGGTGACAGTAGATCACTTCACCAAATTCAAAAATCAGTATGCAGAGCTAAAGGACCACATATGAGCTTATTCAGTGGACTTGGTAACGTGTCTTAGTGATGATGAACTGTTCTACAGTCTGACTAGAACTTCCTCTGCTGAGGCACGCTATTAACCTCCATGGCAGCTGAAAACTATTTGTCAAACATGAAATTCCTAACAGAAACCCATGAATATATGAACATAGTGCATGAATTTATGACGATCTGCTAGTTTGCTAGACTCCAGGATATGAGCTGGCTAGGCATCTATAAATATGCTTTTCCAAATTTGACAGCATCCCGATGCACTTCTTCAATCGGGTACCAAATGTAGGGGATTTGCTTTTTGCAAAGTGCAATTAACTATTTGTTCTCTCATGAAATAAGTGAAGGGAAGCTTGTAAATAATCCACATACTTAAAGAGGCACAGAAATGCAAATGGATTACCAATGAGCTCATTAAAAGGGAAGGACTCACTAAAACTATCTCTGTAGTAGGAGAAAGGATAGGCTTACTCTACACATAGGGGCTACAAGGATTATGCCATCCCATGCACGTGGTTCTTTTAGATGAACTTTGAGAGCAACAGCTCCTCCCATGGACTGCCCCAGTAAGAAGCAGGGCAACCCTCTTAACTCAGGACGTCCTGCCAATCATGATATAAAACGAATCAGAAATTAAAATTTCCCAGTATTTATCTGTATCAAATACTAAAACAAGAAATAATCACAATAACTCTATAGCCATTGCATGACAAGATGCTTATCGAACCTTTTATTTTTGTGTACTGTTCAATAACATTGTCAGCTAATTCATCAAAGCTTTGTATGTAACCATGCAATCCTTCAGATAGGCCAAAACCAGGATGGTCCAAAGCATAAACACCATATCCAGATGCAACAATTCGTTTTGCAATACCTGAGATTTCAAACTCTCCACATATCAAACACGCAATGTTACCGGTGAATCTATGTGAGCATATAAAAGATAGAATGGCAAACCTTCAAAGAAGAAAGTACAGGTATCACCATAACCATGGCAAAAAAACACAGCGCCTTTCATTCGAACTCCAGGTTCCGGAATCCATCTTTTGCAAAAAATTTC